CAAACCAGTGCAGAGTCGCGGAGGGCAGGGGACTGGGTCGGGGAGGGGAGAACCAGGAGGGGAGAACGGGGAGGGGAGAACGGGGAGGGGCGGGGGGCAGGGTGGAGGGGCGCGCAGTGCCTAGAAAAATAATGGGTGGGGGAGGGGAGGGCAGGGAGGGAGGGAAGGAAGGGAGGAGAGGAGGGGAAGGGGAAAGGACGGCAGGGAGAAGGGGGGGTGGGGGAGGGGGGGGTTGGGGATACGGGCGGGCAGAGGGTGGAGGGGGGAGGGGGGAGGGGGGGGCACACAGCGCCTAGAAGAGAAAGGGGCGGGTTGACTTGGGGAGGGGAAGGGGAGGGAGAGGAGAACGGGGGAGGGCAGGGTGGAGAGGGAGTGCGGGGGCGCGCAGTGCCTAGAAAAATAATAGGTTAGGGGGGGAAGGGGAGAACCGGAAAGGGCGAGAGGACAGGAGCGGGAGGGTCGTGCCTAATGAGGATAGGAAAAAACAATAATGGTTGTGGGAGAAGGGGAGAGGAATACAGCAGCCCCAATAGATTTTGTCTACGGCCCAAATTTGTCTACGTAGACAAATGTGTCAAATTTAACTATGTTGAAAAAATAGTTACATTTAGTAGACAAAAATTTGTCTACGTAGATAAATTTTGTAGACAAAAAATTGGCTAAGTAGTTAAAGTTGTGGGGTCGTTTTTTGCAGTCGAAAATAGACAAATTGAATTTATCTACGTAGACAAATTTGACACATTTGTCTACCCAAACTTCGGATAAACTGCGAGCAAACTTCGGACAAACTTCGTCGAAGTTCGCCGAAGTTTACCCGAAGTTTGTCCGAAGTTTACCAGGAGTTTGTCCGAAGTTTACAGGTATGAAAGTCGAAGTTTCGACTTATGGGTTGCATAAACACAGGGGGTTTGCACAACATCCCCACCACAAACTTCGACTTAGCTACTTACAAACTTCGACTTATAAATCGAAGTTTGCAAACTTCGAATTCCGAAGTTTCGACGAAACTTCGGATAAACTTCGGCGTTTGGGCCCCCCAACCCGCCGCAAACTTCGGATAAACTTCGGCCAAACTGCGGCGAACAAACGACGAAGTTTCGACGAAACTTCGGCGTTTGCGGGGCCGCAAATTTGTCTACGTAGACAAGCATTTGTCTACGTAGACAAATTTTGTAGACAACTATTTTGTCTACTGTAGACAAATATTTGTCTACAGAATAGTTAAATTTTTCGTTTTGTCTACGGTAGACAAAATTTTGTCTACGAGGGTCTGTTGGGAGCTGTTGGGGGGGGGCGGAGGGGTGCGCAGTGCGCTAGAGGGGAGAGCGGAGAGGAGGGGAGGGGGGAAGGGGGCGGAGGCACCGAAAAAAAGAACGGGGAGGGAGGGGCAGGGTGGAGGGGGGAGGCGGGGCGGCGCGCAGTGGGGGTGGGAGAACGGAGAGGGGCGGGGAGGGGGCGCGCAGTGCCCAGGAGGGGATAACGGGGAGGGGCCCAGGCGGGAGGGGAGGAAGGGCGTGCTGGGTCGGGGAAGAAGAGGGGGAGCAGAACTAGAAAGGAGGAGAAGCGAGAGGGGAGGAAAACAGAAAAACATGGTTGGAGGGGGGAGGGCGGGGGCGCGCAGTGCCTAGTGGGTTAGGGGGGGAGGGGAGAACCAGGAGGGGAGAACGTGGAGGAAGGGCGCGCAGTGCCTAGAAAAATAATAATGGGTTAGGGGGGGAGGGGAGAACCAGGAGAGGAGAGCGGCGGGAGGAGGGGTCAGTGCCTCGAAATATAAGAAGGGCGCGCGCAGAAAAATCTGATTGATCGTAGACTGCCTGAACTGTACTTCACCACTCTATGCACCTGACTCTATGACTCTATGACTCTATGCACTAGCTTCTATGTACTCAGGCTGTGCACTTGACTCTATGACTTTATGTACTTAACTCTGTGACTCTACATTGCCCTAACTCTTCGCAAATCATGCTTTCGGGCCACCCGTCTTCTATTTTTTTACTTAGGCTGGCGTGCCGGATCACCGACGAGCAGCAGATGTCACGCCGGTGTGGTTCTGCCGGATTTGTGGCACCGGAAGTGTCCAGACCGCAGAATCAGAGCCTGTCCGTGTTCAAACTCGCACCTCAGTCTTGCAGCATCAAGATCAGGTGTGCTTGGGCACGCCATATGCCACTTGAAGCAGAGAGGACTTTCCTCGATAATCGTCCTCGCTCTGTCACTGCAGCATGAACCATGAAGTCGTGCGTAAAGACAGTCCTTGCGGCGGGTACACCCGTCTGCATTGTGCCGCCATCAATTGCCGTGAATCGTTCTGCATGCCGCGGCCCGGCATGAGCCAAGGATTGCAAAGTGGATAATTTTGGAGCAGGCAGATTCTGCGGCCCAAAAACTGTTCTGCTCTTGGTTAGCGCGTCCTTTGCAGGTGTCGTCTTGTACTTCATGCTGAGCAGGGAGACGCCATTCAGCAGTCCCGATCGGGACTCTGCTGCGACGATGAGGAAGACAGTAAAGCTCTGTTCTTACGCTGTTGCTCACAGAGTTGACGTGAACACATTCGGCCTTCCTGTGGGCTTGCCTGCACAAGCTTGCTGCCAAGGTGCAGTCTTCATCTTCAGCGACCGCCATTCGATTCAATGACCAGTCGCTTGCGAGTCCTGGCAAATCAAGGGTGATGGTGTCTCGTTTGGCGAGGGCATACCAGGGCATGCCAGGGCATCTGGGGTGGAAGGGGTGGATCCTGAAGCGAAGCATTGCCATGACCGGTCGTGAACTATAGTATGAACTGCTCAGGAAACATTCTCAGACAGTCGCTTGACTTCAGATGGACTTTGGAGCTGCAGAGTTTTGCAGTAATCTCCCATTGCTGCCAACCCAGGCTTATATGCAAGAGCCAAGACGACAGACTCACTGCCGCCTGCCTCAGAAACAGACGTGGGCAGTGCCTCTTGATTCGCGTTGCCGGTTCCCGTTGAACGAACAATCAGGGGAGCTTGCGTGTGCACCAAGGCAGCAGCGGCACTGGAGCATTCTTGGATCGTGGGCAAGTCTGACAAGACTGGCAGCAGCGACTTGGTGAATCCCTAGCAAAGCATGCCCTGTTGGCTTTCGCTGTTCGAAGCAAAGGCTCCTCCAGCAAGAAGAAAGAGAAGGTGCCTTGGGCATCTGTGCATTTCGGTGATGGGGAACATGACATCGGAGATGGACTAAATCTGGTCTAGCTCGTGTATTGTGTCGTGGCAAGGTGTTGGAGCCATTGTCGCCAGTTCCCGTTGTCGAAGAACGGTCCGGTGCCGATGCCGGGCAGACGCAGCCAGACGACACTCCTACACAAGGAGCCTCTTGATACCCAAGCTCGCCTCCACCTGAAGACGGCCCATGCAGGAGGCTATTTGCAATCTGCTGGCGTTCAGCAGAGCAACCTGCCGTTGGCCCAGCGCGTAATGAGGTCAGATCTCACGCTCAGGCAGATTGCGACAAGATTTTCTTAAGCTTGCCCTATGCTGTGGACTTGCCAAGGTCGCAACAATAATCTGGTGTTGTATCACATGGCACAGTCTTCGTTGTGAGCCGTGCCATACCAATATATCATATTTCCCCTCCGCACCAGAAGCCGCAGCTGCGGCAACTGGTCCTCGCGGCATTTAAGCTGAGTGTTTCAAACCATGCAGTTTGGAATTTCACACAGCGAGTTGATGCTAACAAGCTCAATGCCTGTTTCACAATTTTTCCATTAGGCTGCCAAGTCTGCGAGCGATCGATGGATGTGGTGCTTCAGGATAACCTGACGACCGTCATGCTAGCGAGATCTTGGGAGAGGAGCCGTTGGGTAGCAAAGACTTCCCGGGAAGACCGTGTTTCTCTAGCAGGTGCCCCCTATGCAAGTCTCGGGTTGCTCCTTTCTTGGCAACATTGCTTCTGTAGCTCTTTTGGCTTGAAGTGGCATCGTGAGCATCATGGGGTGGATGCGGTGCGGTTCTTTCTTGGCGCTGCTGGCTCTCGCCGGGGCGTCCAACATCTCATGCCTGGATTCCTTCCGCTCCGTCACCCCCTTGTCAATCCAAGAAAAGCATTGCCTCCTGCCTCAGCTGGATGCATTGGTTGACTCGCCCCAGCGCTTCTACTTCGAGAAGATTGGGGTTGTGGTAGGCTATGAGATCTTGTCCAAGCTCGGGGAGATTGAGTTCACCTTTGCAGTGCCAACTACGGGTTGGTTCGGCTTCGGGATCTCAGAAGTAGGGAGCATGATTGGAGCCGACATGGTGATTTTGGAGGATGGGCCGAATGGATTCGAACTCACTGATTCCTATTCCCACGGCTTCGAGCGTCCTGTCGCAGACAAGCTTCAGAACTGGCAAGCCCAGAGCATCACTCACTTGAGCCTGGGGGAAACCTGTTTGGGACAGACGGTTGTGACCAAGGCCGTGCTCAGACGAATGATGAAGACGTGCGATGCCGAGGATGAGGACCTAGGGCCTCAGTGGATACAGAACTACTTCGTGGCTGCCTATGGCGATGGGCGCATGAACTACCATGGCCAGGTACGCGAAACCACTTCACATTACATGTACTTGCCTGAGCCCATCTTGCATGAAGAGGCCCTCGAGGCTGTGGAGGTGGACATTCTGGGTCCAAGCATCCGTGTACCTCAGGGGCAGACGAATTATTGCTACATCAAGGTGGTGATACCTT